ATTAGTTGCCAATAATTTTTTTTTATGGTTAGTTGACCACTAAATTTCATTGAAAATAAGTGTATTACTTTTCTTTTGGATAATTGACCACTAAATTTTCATTGAAAAATAGTGTTTTGAAAGGATTTTGACAACTAAAATAAAGTCCTTAATAAATTATTTGCAAATGAATATATTATTAATAAAAGACATATTAAAATTTAAAATTTCATAAAAACATAATTTCATAAAACGTACGTGGTCAGGTCAAAACTGTACATTCAATAAACAAATGAGCGACCTTAAAAAAGAAATTATAATTAATAAATATAAATTTTATAACATGTGGACATTATATGAAAATATTAAAAAAAAACTTAAAATATTGTAATCGTAATATAAAAAAAAAACCTAAATAACTTGTAAAAGAAGCAGAACAGAAGCCTGAAAAATTATAACTAAAGAACCAAAAGTTCTTTAAAAAAAAACTAATTGTAATATTTTGTTTTCTTATAAGCACCTCTCACGACCAACATTTTGTTTTAGGATATGAAGCATGATATACAAACAAATATCAGGGTATATATGATATCCTGGGATGCGTGGATATCATTTCGCGCCCCTCCTTAAAAAAGAGAGTTTGATATCTATTTTTACACTAACAATCTAAAAACTTTTACATTATTGATTAGGATGATTTTTTAAGATAGTTATTATAAATCTCAATTAATTTTTTATATGTGTGTCAATTTAGCGTGGACCACCAACTCGTGCTAAATATTTTTGTGGTAAGCGTGAGCCCTAAAGATGGGCCATGCAACGCAATGAAGGAGTTTTGCTTTATGAAAATGATTATAGGATTGCCCAATTAATTAGTTTGTGTACGATATCATAAAGCTATTCATCACTTCCTCCGTACCCTGTCACCCTATTGCAATTTGCAATGCCATTGGTAGCAGTATGGGCTGATTATACCATACTATCAATCTATATAAGCCCTTTTCTATAGTTCCATTTAGATTCATGAGATATACACCTTTTTTTTTTAAGTACATTGTACACCTCTATTTTTTTTTAATTTTTTTTTTTTAATTTTTAATTTTTTAATTTTAGACTCATAACATTTAATTTAGTACATTTTTTTTTTACACATCTTTCCTTATTTTTTCAATTTTCAGATGCACTTTCTTAACTTTCTTTTACTTCACCTATTTTGGTAAGTAATTTTAATTTTTTTTATTTTACATTACTTTTTCCCTTTCGCTTTCAGTTTTTTTACTATTATCTTCTCTCTTCCCGATTTTAGTTTTCACACATATGTAAAACATAGAACTAGTTTTCAATAATATTATAAGTGTGTATAGTTTTCTCAATAATAGGTAAAAAATTAGAGGAAAATAAAATAATGCATGTGAAAACTAAAAAAAAAAAAATATATGTAAAAAAGAAAAAAGTAACTGAAGATATAAAATTAAAAAAATAAAAAAATATAAATATTTTATAATTTAAAAAAAATAAAAGAGGTGTACTTATTGGAAAAAAAGGAGGTGTATATATATATATGAGCCTTCCATTTATTCTAGCTACCTAAAATTTTCACTGGGTCAGCATGGGCCCCAGCCCAATTCTGAATGAATCCAATCATTTCTTAGTTTGCTGAACCAAACAAATGAACATCAATATAAAAATTACATTAAATCATAATTAAAGGAATTTTGCGATAAGTGGTGGCTTATTGATTAGGAATTAAAAATATTAAATATAAAGTTGAAGGTGTTTAAATAATTAAATAATATAAAAAGTAGTAAATGAAGCAGTATAGGTCTGAGTCTCATATATATGATCTCTTAATTTATTAGAATTGTGTTTGGGACCTAACCAAAGCATGGGATCTGACGGGTAGCAGTTCTGTCATATTGCAAATGGTGGGCCCAGCCCAATTGGCTGTCATCTGAGCATCATGCTCAATGGTGATGGCAACAGTGGGTTCCTTCATTAAAAGGAAACCAATTCAAAGCCCTCGTTTGAATTATTCGTCACCTTCTTTCCCTATTCAATGTGGTACCCATACAAGACAAACAAACAATTCTATGGTGGGGATTCCCTCCATCATCGACTACCTTCTATTGTCTCTCTTCCTGTTAAATCTTAATGAACTGTCTCTTCCTAGCTACTTCCTCCTAATGTTAATAAATTACCAATTTTATGTTCTCACCACTCCAACGTTACGTAAACTTTTTCTCATACATTCATTCTTTCTAAGTTATTAAGTAACATTCAAATCTTCACTACACCTATTCAATAAGTCATATATTATATTATATTATATTATTTAATAAGAATGTTTGTAGATATTATCTCTTTTATACTTGTTAAACCATTACAAGTTTTATCTTAAAGAGAATAATGAATTTAATAGAGAAGGATGTTTATAAATAATTACTTATCTTAATTTTTAAGAGATATGAAATTTTTAGACATATTAAAATTAAAAACCAAAATATTCTTATACATTTTGGTAGGTTGAACTATGAAGTTAAATTAAATAAAGAAAAATGATTACAAGATAAATTAGGAAGCTAATCAATAAAAAATAAATAAAAATTAGTTGTTCCTATAATTCCGGCGACAGTGCAATTAACAGTATGGAGTTTTAACTGGTTTCACAATTTAATTAAAGAACAGACGGAAGAGTATACAATTTCTATGTATTGAACAGAGGAAAAAGAAATGTTTATTTTCTGTTGATCGCAAAAAGTTATAAAACTGAATTCATTAATAGAGAAGCAACTATACTTACATATATATATCGTTTTTTTTTTGTTGGTAAAACCCTATATCTATAGTCCTAAAACCCTATATTTATAGTCTTGTCTCCTGTGATTTCCAAAACAATAGGTAAAACAGTACACAATTGACAATGGTCCAATGATTAGAAACCCGAAGTACTCTTGCTAGCGAAGAAGACAAAATGACCAATTTATGGTGGTGTTTTGAAACGCTCTTTTTGCTAATTATTTATTTATTTATTTATTTATTATTTTCATAATAAAATAAAGTAATTTAAATATGCAATGAATATCTCATTTAATCTTTCTTGTTTTCCTTTGGAATTTTGAAGAAAAACCTTAACGACAGTGACAACTCCATCAGATCTGTGTTTTTAGTGCAGCAGCATGTGTAACTATCTAGCTAACTGCTGCGACATCTTAACGTAAATCCCAAAACTTTACTCATTATATATGAAAGAAAATGTCGTGTGAAATAACATATAGTTGAATATTCATAAAGCATTCATGATTGTTGCAGCAGAACAACCTTGAAAATATCAATAGGACGTGGAGAAGGCTCTTTCGGTTAGTAATATGCAGTGTTTCTCAATCAACAAGAAAGATATTAGGTGAGAAGTGCTTGTTGCTTTGCAACTTCTTGTTTTGGTTTTCACGGAAGAAACGTGTGGCTGTTTACTTACCTCAACAAATTCCTGTTGATCTATTCTACTCACATTAATTACATATAACAGAAAGGGAATTGACAAGAGCTTGTAAGTGTGCAGAAATCATCCAAACACTTCCAATCTAGAGATGTAGTACGGTTTCAATTTTCAAGGACTTACTGAATTAATTTGGTTTTTTCCATGTGTATATATAGGCATCGTTAATTAATATTTATGTTTAGCAACATCATTATGCATTGCGACTTGTTTTAATGTTAAGAAATTTTTAACATTTGTTAAATTCAAACTTACAAAACTCATGAATTGAATTATATGAATATTGAAAAGTGTACTAATGTTAAAATAATTAAACACTTATTTTTTTTTATTTATGAATTCACGACTTTAATTTCTTCACAATTAATTAAATAATAATGGATAGACAATTGGAACACCTACTATTCTAAAGTATGAATTATTCCAATCAGATACGTTGTCAATTTTCTTCCTCCCTCTAGTTCACAGCCGTTTCAACTTTAAATTAAGTTCTTAATGAAATGTGACACGATCCATAATAGTCTAACAACTAATAGTTTAAGTGCCAAATAAATCAATGACAATAAAATTTTAGAAAACGGTGATGGAGGTCTTTTCCTTTCGAGCGTCTATCACATGAAATATGGAATTTTAGTGCAATTTTACATTCATTCAACTATGTAAATATATATATAGAAAAAAAAGAAACGTATACGGGGATTGGTTCTATTATTCACTCTATATATTGTAAAAATAATTTTTACTCACCATTTAAAATTTAAATGAGTTTGCCAAAGAGTTATTTCAAGTTACAAGTTTGTGGACTATTTTGAAATAATTATTTCAGTTATTTTCTTTATTTCACTTTTTATTCTCTTGTAAAGAACTTGATCATGTAAGAGTTTGCCTAACCCTATATTTAAATTTTCAATACTCATTTTTTCTTAGCGGGAAAAATGAAAAGAAGAAATAGAGTTGACGAAGAGAGTAACTTTGTCGACTTTTCAATTTCAAAGACTCCATATATAACTGGCATTCGACTTTAAATTCCCTTATTGGTAGATGATCTGTGGTCCCATTGTAAAGTTAAGGCTCATACATTATATGCAGGTTTCTCTCAGCATGCATGTTTGAAATACCTGTACTTAAATACAATAATTTTTGGTATCATTGTTCATTACAATAATTAGAAGGGTACCTAAGTGAACAAATATGTAATGTAAGAATATCCATTTCGACTCTATCAAAAATATGAATTATGAGCACAGAAGTTGTCAAGAATCTCGAATGGTGTCTCTTGGCATCACTGAGAGGACTGGTATGAAGAACAATAAGAACAAGTTTGACTTTCAAGCCAACAAGAGTTGTTCTTAACCGTCTGCGAAGATAATCTAGAGTCACAAATGACTCACTTCGTTTAAATATTTATCAGTTATTATTGTTATTTGATTCAGTGGGACTCTCTAATCCCGTTTGTGATTGACCTCTTTGTTTGAAAGATATATAGTCCCGTTTATTCGCCCAAGGAACAATCAACGTACTAGTGCAATTATGGACATTGGTAGGTTTGACATTTCACGATTTTAGAAGGGGAAAAAAAAACAAAAAAGAAACAGTAACTATTCTGGTTATTGACCAGATCAATTAAGTCCTATCAAACTAATTAAGCTACAAAACTTAAATAATCAAGTACATACATGGTGAAAAAAATAATGAAAAACAATCTGCTATACACTTATGCAATAGATATCATATTAATGCTACACCTAGCTAATAGCTACCTTCATGAGACTACCTTTCTCTTATCGAATTTCCTTTTTTCCTGTCCTTCCACAGTGCAAATAAGACGGATTGAGGAATAGCTGAGAAATATTAAAATGGAAAAAAAAGAATGTTTACCTTTGATGATATATAATATGGTGGAGCATCTTCCTATATATATATTTATTATGATATGATTATTATGTGAAGTAGTAGTACTATATTGAAGTTTATTAATTAAATGCCTCCGAAGTCTCTAACAGAGAAAGGAGTTTTCTCGGGCATGTTCCCGGCGTGGCGAAGCCCTAGGGTAAGTGACACGTCACCCGGTGTGGTCCCAAACCTAATGAGAGTGGATCCAATGTCAGCACTTGCAGATGCGGTCCCAAAATCTGGTGTGACAAAGCGACACGTGTCATCTGTGGCCATTAACCTGTGTGGGGGCAGGTCTGAGTCGAAACACTGAGACACGGGTGGCGCCACCTCAGAGGCGGGGGCGCTGACGGAGGCCATGGCAGTGGTGGAGGTGGTGGCGGAGGTGGACTGTTTCGCTTGGTTTTCCGAGAAGCCTTGTCTATTGATTACAACGAGTGAAGGGTCGCTTTCGGGGGCATTGATATCGGATCTTTTGCCTGTTGGTTTTGTTGTTATTGTGGGTGGTGGTGGTGGCGCTGTTGCTGTTGATGTGCTTGGAGTTTGTGCTTGGTTCCCACTACTATTGCTGTTCTTTTCTCTCTCTTCTGCACACTCTGCTTCCTTAAGTTCTTGTTGGTACATCTCTTCCACCATGGGTTTCCACAACCGAACCCTGGCATTAATGAACCAGTTTGATACCTGAAGCAACACATGTTACATCCATTCAATTTCAAAACCATCAACATACACATACACACGGATGCAATTTTATACATCAACCTACCTCCTCAAACTTTTAAATGTCACTCAAAAAAAGACAAAGAAAAACCTATGTTCAATGTTATAGTAATTTGTATATCATCATAAGTGAGCCAACAGACCAACCTATACATATATAGTATAAACTATATATATAAACTAATATGCATGAATGCTACACTTGATAAAGGACTAATTGTTTTAGATTAATGGTTATGTAACCTTTATGCTTTCACTGATTACATATATAATTTGCGTTCATTAATCATTTAATAATTTTATCAGCATAAGAGAAAAAGCTAGGACACAAAAGAAGTTCCTTTCTTCTGGCTTATTGTTTTTTGTCCCTTTATGCTAAAGTGTGATTAGACACTGAGGTATCTTCTCTGTGGTGTGACACAAAGGACAGTCAAGATGACATGCAGATTTAAAATGATAATAATATTGTGATTAGTTGCTCCAACAGATGAAACTATTCATCACCAGTTTCTTCTAAGAAGAGACAGTGTGTTTTAGTTGTATGACCTTCTATGAGTCAAGTCCTCCTCCGTATCACTGCCGCTATAGGGTCTAGGCGCATATGTGTAACGCACAGGAAATTAACAGACTTTTTTCTTCTTTTTTCCCTCTCCAGTGTTGTGGTTTGCTTATGGGGGTCTAAGGAGAAAGTGAAATAAAAAAAAATATATATTGAAGGAAAGAAAATAAAAAAATATTCTTCTCTCGAGAAAAAAAAAATCAATTTTCTTTTTATTAAGAAAAAAGTTAGAAAAATAAAATATAAATAGTATTGTTAAAAGAATTTAATATCCTATAGAATGGTAAATAAGTAGTAATAAGTAAATGAATAAACTGTTCTTTCAATGAAATTTTATTTTTCTATCATTTTTTTTCAATCTAATTAAAGAGATTTCTTTTTCTTTTCGGATATCACATTTTATTTTTCTCTTCAATCAAATGGTAGAAAATATAATTTTCCTTCTATTTTTCTCAATCAATTTTCTTTCTACTCTTTTTCATTTACAAGTTCTTGATTTTTGCATAAGAAAAAATGATATATTAAATGGTAAAGTATCAAGTTCTCACATTATATTTTATGAATATAGTTTCTAAGCATTATTAGTGTCAAAAAATGCAAAATATTAACCTATAATAAAAAGACTATAATATGTATATTTTAAAGATATTTACTAATTATTGTAAAAGTGAACCAACATACCAAATAAACTATTTGTTCATATAGCACATAAGTTTTTTGAGTTTTTGTAATTATCAGGAAAAACAACAATACAGAACTAGTGCAGAATCTACCCTTGTAAAAAAAAGCTAGGATGAATCAGGAGGAAAAACATTAAATAAGGAAAATGATGCATTATATATATATATATATCGAATAAAATATGAAGAGGGGGCAAGGTCTTTCACTTTTTTGCTGCCTTGTGTCGCTTATAGTTATATATGTAGAGTTAATCACTTATACACTACTAGTGTAAAAAAATTTTATACTGATAACCAATTATATCTTTTAATTGTGTCATGTCATTATAAATACATTTATTTTTAACAGAGAGATAACATAATTAAAAGATATAATTATTTGTCAATGTCAAATATTTTACACTGATATAGGTGATTAACTCATGTATGTATACCAAATTAAAGAAGGCATTGGTGATTAATTTAAAACGTGCAAAATTCTAGAGTAGTACTCAAGCAAAATAGATTAACAAAATATCAAGCCAGCTGACGAAGTTGCATGAATACATAACGTAATATGGCATTAACAGATGCATTAACATCTCGAAAGCACACATTTATTCCCCGTATTTATGGATCCTGTATTGTGTAGTTGGGCGAAGTCATTTGACATGAGAGAGAAAAAAGGATCTGAAGAGTGAATTCGATTGAAAACAACAAACTTCCATGTCTCATTGCTGTTGTACTTACCTCTGCCCATTTAATTTCCTTATTAATTATGTCATGAAAGTAAAAGATTCCAAAAGTAAAATTAAAACTAGACAAAAAGATAAGCATTTCTTCAGGAGGAGAAAACGAAATTTTTGAAACGCGAGAACAAAAAAGAAGAAAAGGTGGCATTAGACAAAATAAAACCCGCATTACCTCTTAGAGAGAGAGACAGAAGAAACCAGAGAAACAAGACTCAAAAAAACATGTAAGTTGCATCTGAACGCAGTGCTGGTTCCTTTTCTTTTCCATTCATGGGTTTCTTTTTCTTTTTTACTTAGTCTTGATAATTAATGTGGACCGAGCGTCCAATTAACCAATTAAAGTAGCCAAGCTAATCCTCCACTCTCTCTCTATATACGTATATGCATATTTTAAGCATTAATTAATTAAGTTACTTATTGTATTGTGGAACGTTAAGAAAGAAGTGAACGAACCTGATTTCGCGATAGCCCAGTCTGTCGTGCTAACAGATGCTTATCTGCATCGCTTGGATACCTGAGAAAGAGACCAGAAAATGACATCAGAGTCCTTGCCTTAACTGTATAAAGGGACACGGAGCTTTCTGTACCCCTAGCTGAGTTGAAACCTTTCTTTCTTTCCCTTTGGGCGTGAGAATCTAAGAGAAAGAGAGAAAGATCTATGTCCTAGCTGCCATAGCAGAAGTAAAGCAGATTACTGTACACACTGATCACTGTCTCTCTACTTTATCAGTTTATCCCCCCCGGCTCCTTCCCTTAATCAGTTAATCTAATTTGATGTTTTTGTTAACGCTTTTCGAATGGAGATAGATTTTGAACGAGATCAGAGAAAAAGATACCGAGAAATTCATCCTAGTTAAAGCAGCGATGGTAGAAATATGTATCTTTCTTTCCACCTTTCTGCTGGCGAGACAACATCCAAGGACACTGCAATATCACAGCATTACTGTTCCTCTAAACGATTATACGCATACGGCAGCACATAAATTATGGCTTTCCTTCTGCCACCCCTCCTCCCTTTCTTTGTCTCTTTATTATTTTTTAATAACACAGAAGCCCTGTTGCTTTTCTTCTAGTTAATGATCACCTTATCCTTTTTATATTATTATTTGCCATATATATATATATATATAAATAATATATATATAACTCTCAATGATCATTGTGATAGATTATCCCAATACCCTGGTTTGTTCTAGGTGTACATTACTTATAATATTGAAAAATGATACATATTTTTTTGTCCTATTATATCTCTCAGCCCACCGTATCATATACTAATTCTGTAGCTGACTGGACGAGTTTTGGCAATGATATATACTTTCAACACAATGTTGGAACAGATGTTACTTTTAATTACCTAAAATAATACTAATATGCAAGTATGATTCTCGTGTTATATTAAGTAACAATGATGGAGAGAGAAGGGAAACGTACGGGTGGAGAAAATGCTCGAAAAGCCAGGCTCTTAAAATATTGACAGATCGTTCAGGCAAGCCTCTTTGGGGTCTCCAAGCTTCTTGTTCCATCATCCCCATTTGGTGGAAGGCTCTTTGCTGTCTTAGGCTTTGTTCTAACATCTTAAGCCTTGGGGTCTCTCCCTTGGTCAAACCTGAGGTCCCTGCCCCATCTTTCTCTCCTAGTAGCTCACAACTGTGTTTCAGCTGCGCTGTTATTGCGTCCTTCAGACACCGGAAATGCCGAGACATTGCTTTCTGCGCCAGTGCTGTGTACGGAACTGCCGCGCCAAAACCCATCATCAGGTCAAATGAGTTCACTACCATTTGCATTTGCTCGCAGTAGTGGTTGTATCTCCGATCCACCTGAAAAAAAAAATGAAACTTTATTTGACACGTCAAATATTCACAACTTGGTGTTTGAGTGATAATAGGATAATCAATTATCCAGATACAATGTTTAAAACACCGATTAATAATTTAAAAAATAAAAAGGGAAAAGGCAGAAGATGTCCTTCGTGCATGTTCTCATTTACTCGTCCGTTGTGCGGTTTGTGAAAAGCTAGATGAACCACCTTAGCATTAATAAAGGAAAGCAACTCATATGTGAAATAAATCTGAATAGTTATTAGTTAGATTTATGAGCACTAACTCATGCAAATAGTGAAAGACAAACACACATTAAATATTAGTTTATGATTGTTAAACGGATGGATTAGATGGAGCACAAAAGAAATTTCTAATTAAGTATTTGAATTTTTTTAATCCATTAAGTATTTGAATTTGGTTTGTGAGACTATGTTACTTCTAAATAAAAATAAATAAAAATCGAAAATCCCTGATACCTAAGGAATAATGTTTTGATTTCAAGAAATTAATGTTAGGGATGCAATGAAATATTAATAAGTGTTGGGTTTCTTTGCCGCAGTACACCTCATCGATTGATAGGCTTATGTGCATAAACAAAATTAAAAAGAAAAGAGTGAATTTCCTTTATAAGAGAAAAGAAAAAGAAAAGACCCTTGTGGATCCGTTGCAGTCAACTGAGAGATGATAACAATGGCTTCCACCGCAATATTTCCATTTAAGGTGGAAGTGACATTGATAACAACTTCATACGTAATAGATATAGATATGGTGAATGAGTGGCTTTCTTCCTTCTGTTGGGGTCTAATGAGAAGGAACGTCGCTTCTTGATGGACGTATTCTCCTAATAGTTAGTCTCATGGTTCACACCAAACTAAGAAACCCAATTAAAATAATATAAAATCATCCCACCAATCAAATCAAAGGATTAAAAAAAGGGTTTTATTATTAAAATGAAAAAAATGAAGAATTACCTACCAACTGATCCTATGCAATGGAACCCTATTATACCGGCCGGCCTTTTCCTTAAAAAAAAAATTAATTGAAGATACCGGCCGGAGAAGAGAAGCGTATGGTTTATTAACCCCGTTGAAGACAAATAATGCAGTATTAATTAATGATTAAATTAAAGAAATATAATGAAGAAGAAAAAGATATTGGGGGACCTTGACTCTTGATGGGGGAGAGAAGGCGAGAGGGGAACAGAAAGAAAGAGAGAGAGAGAGAGAGAGATTAGAATACATGCCTCGTCAAGCATTGATAGAAGTTTGACCTTTCTTCTCTGATGCTCAATCCTATCAGGCGCTGACAAAGGAGGAGGAGGAGGAGCATCTTTCGAGGAAGGCGAAGAAGCAGCACCGCCAGCAGCAGGATTTGAATTAGGGTTTGAATTTTGTGTATTGAACTTGGTCTTCTTAAAGTGACCCCTCCCAACACTGCAAAACTCCTCAAGTAAATCTTGAGCAGCCTTGACATATTTGGAATTTCTCATAACATTAACTACACCTAACGAGGAAGAGGCAAAGCCAACATGTCCCTGGTGGTTGCTGTCGTGTCCCATCGCCCCTTGCAAATGCAATGTCTGATGAGTATTATTCTTGTACGGATACTGAAGAGTGGAAGAAGAAGAAGAAGGTCCTCCGGCAGCAGCAGGTTGCTGATGATTGTAATAAAGAAAACCAGTATCCCCAATTCTGAATTCCTCGGCTTTGGCTGCTTCGAGGGAAGAAGACAAGGATAAGGAAAGACCTTGTCCTTCAACGACGTTCTGAGGAACCCATGTGAACTGACCAAAAGGGCCTTGGAGGGAATTGGAAGAAGGATTGGGAAGCAGCATGTGAAGTGTGGAGGAAGGAGGAGGCGAAGGGGACCTCGTTTGAGGGTTCATCAGAAAAAGCTGCATGGCTGCTGCTGAGTCAGCATTAATGCTTGGAATCTGGTTGTGAACCAAACCATCTCGCCCATTATTCCCACCGTTTTGTCTGTTTCCGTACCACTCCCCGCCTTGCCTCCCCGTCACCGCCTGCTGCTGCTGCTCCACCAGCTCCGCCGCCGGAGGGAAATTGAACATCTCCGACAACATCCCGCCGCTCTCGTACACCGCTTCCTCTTCCTCTATCCCTACCAATGGCGCTGCCTCGAACCTCACCTTCTCCCTCCGGATCTGCTGCTGCGGACTCACCCTTCCTCTCTCCAACCCATTCGAGAAGCTGAAGATTCCTTGTTGATACTCCTGTGACATAGAACTGCAACACCTAACACGAGATCCAACACAAAAACAATGGTCTCTCGCACTATCTTAAAATCTCCACCACTTCATCTCTACCAACCTCGCCTTATTACTATCATCACTGTCCAATAGTTGAATTATTCATCAGTAATCACAAGGAGAACAACCAAATCCAACATCAACAAACACTAGAGATTATAGAAAAATAAGAAAGAGTGTGTGTGAGAGAGAGAGAAGAAATAATTAAATTAACTAATTAACAGCTAGCTAGCCTCTCTTTTCAGTGTTAAATTTTCCTTTTTTTTTATTTTCAGCTTTGCTCATAGGGATAGTGGGCGTGTTTATATATGTACCTATTAAAGTTGCAGGGTATGAAAGGATGTAAAGCTCTTAGACATCGTTTTCCCCTCGGTGGTTTTGATAGCTTCTACAGTTCTTCTTTCTTTCTTTTTCTCTCACACACACTCTCTCTCCTTTCTTTCTTTTATGGTAATCACCTTCTCTAAAAAGAAAGTGCGGGTTACACAACAATATAAAATTAAAGATGAAGGGTTTGGGGAACTGATATCATCCTTGTCTCAAATAAACACAAAGAGAGAGAGAGAGGGGAAAGGGAAGCGGTCGCTCTCGCTCTTCTTCGGTCTTCACCTCCTCCTTTAGTTTTTTTTCCCCACCAATAATGTCCTTTTATATATACTTTTTTATCCTCATATTCTTCAATTTGACACCATTTTTTCCAATTTATATAAATGGTAATGAATTGTACGCACAAGAAATATTCCAATGACCATACTAGCCCTATCTTATCTACACAACAAAACTTACCAACATAATAATGCTTAGAATTACAAGTCAAAAGCAAACGATTCCAAACTCACGTTTTGGCTAAATTATGACTGCCATGAATTTAACAGACTAAAAACATTTGTGTATTATATGTATCAGTTTTCTTCCTTTCAAATTATGCATGAGTTCTTTTGCAAAAATGAGAAATACGCAAAATTATAACATGGGGGAGTTCTGCATATCAGTGTTAATAATTTGTACACAAGATTAATAAATCCTCGATCATATGTTTAGGAATATATGAGAGGTTCTCGATCCATTATTTATTGTCATGGTAGCTTAGTTTTTATATATGATCTTTAGGAAATTAGCAGAATGTAATCACAAGTATTGGATTTTATTGTCATTTGAATACGTCCTTTGGAAACCAACGCAAACTACGGAATAAAATAAAGATAAGGTGAGTACAAAGTCATCTCAATGATCCAAACTACCACCATCTTTTTTGATATGTTGGAATGACCAAAAGGCCCTATATAATCATTGCCAATGGAGCTGAACCCCTATAGCTGGTAAGGTCATGTAAGTCATCTTGGACGCTGCAAATTCATTAATTAATAACCCGAGTGAAGTAAGACAGGGGAAAGAAAGATTTTAGAAATAAGGAATGCTACACGAAGTGGATGGATGGCACGTGCGAGTGGATGGGCAAAACAGACAAGTTAGGTTTGTGTGGGATAAATAGGGTCTGAAAAGTACCCATAACCGCTTTAAGGTTTGGCACTGTCACCATGCCCATGTTCATTTTCCCTTTTTGTGTACCCTTATTTTTTTACAGGTGTTTTTCATGTTTCACCTTCTTTTACATATGATTAAGGTTTAAATATATTTTCATATTTTAGGTTATATTTATTTTTAATTTAACTTATATATACTACATCAAAATTTATTACTAGAAACAATCATTTAATGACAATAAGTTAATTATCCTACTTTATTATCTAGTAAAAATGTTAATGATTAATAAATAATAATCATTAAAAATATATTTATATTACACTAAAATTTATTATTAGTGATAATTATTTAATAAGAATAAGTTAAATATTGCTATTTTATCATCTAATAAAAATATTAACAATTAATAAATAATAGTCATTAAAAATATATTTATAAGATTATTGAAAATGATCGGTAGAAAAGTAAGGATAATTTTTAATTTATTTTATTGAAAGAAGTTTAAGTCTTACATCGAATAGTGATAAAATAATTAAAGAATGTATAAATGAATGACAACTTTCACCTTACAAGCTGATTTTGTATGTTTTAACTAGATTTATAACTCATTATTATAAGATAATATCAATTTACAAGTTTCATAATAACTAGACATAAAATAATTAAAAAAAATGTAAACTAAAATTCTTTCTTAAATATTTAGTGACAATAATAATAAACATTAAATGTCAGAAAAAAGATATCATAAAAATTTATACATTTTTTTTATCATTATAATGATCTTTATTAGTATGTAGAATAATTGTCAGTAAATATTATAATGGCTAATGTGAAAATGTTGACAAAATATTTTTTAACTATTTTTATTGTCGCTAAAAATAATATTAAATGTTATCAAAAGTTCATTTTGTTATAATGATATGTATAATTACTTTTAACATATATTTATTATACATCCTAGAAATCATATAGTTTTAAAAAAACTATGTACAAAAATAACACAAAATTTATACTCGCGGGACATTGTTGATTTGTTTTTCATATATTTTAGTGTTATAATTTTGATAGAAATCGTATGTATAAAGATAGATAATAAAAAAAGTTCAAAAAATTATAAAATTATACTTATAAATATTATTTTTCATATAATTTGAAATGAATATTTACAGATGCCTCTTCGATCAGATCGTCTTTATTTTCTCTATGAAGAAAGACATACCATATTAAGGGGTTTTTTAAATATTTTTTTTCATAAATATTTATATAGTAAAAGAAAAAAAAATAACTTTTTCATATATTAAAAATTAGAGGACCTCTCAAAAATTAAACAAATTAAGTATAACTCTTTCTCATGAGCTAATTATGAAATAAACCTCTTCAAAAATGATATAAGTTTATATTGTATTAGTTGCACCGAATTCTGAACACTTAAAGAGAATCTAGACTCATCATTGCTTAAACCAACATGTATAAATAAATTATCAAAACTTTAATTAACTATGTGTCTTTATGATAATAAAGGTAAAAAAAAAAAAAAATTACGCCAATTATATATTTTACTTTTAAAAAAAGATGGATAGTGAATTTTTCTCTATAGTGAATAGTTATTTATATTAACCAACTTATCATTAATTCGAGTTAAATTAAATTGAAATTCTTTAAATAACATTCAGAATTTAAATTTTGTAGATAAAGAAAATGTTGTTGAAATGAAAAATTCTACAAAAGATGGTCAATTAAGTTTTTGGTAGACAATAAATATCAATAAAATTAGTGAATACTCCCCAACAATAGTATTGTGAAAAATAAATAATATCTTAATTAATTAACTGTATCAAGGCAATCATTTTTTTTCCTTTTTCTTATGTGCAAGATAAAAAAAAAAACAAAACAAAAGACAAAATAGGCTTACCTAGTCATGTGCGTGAGGAGGGGAAGAGGAGGACGACCGTGAACATGGAAAACTTATTTAGAAAGTACTATTTATATTAGTTGCTTTTCCAATCAATATAAAAATGATTTTATGTAAGTTAAATTACATCTGAAATAAAATATGTGATATTATTTATAAAATATTACTACAATTTTTTTTTTATGTTGATTACTTTGCAATTAACATAAAATCTTATTATAGAATCACTATTATGTATACTAGTGATAATTATTTCTATGCTGGTTAAAATATAACTTCTATAAAAAGTGACGTTATTTAAAAAATGTTATTGATTATATATATATATATATATGTTTGTTGCTTTGCAATCCACATAAAATCTAGTAATTATAAAATACTATTATATACTAATGATAATTATGCACATTATTTGCGCGTTGTCCCGTTGTTAAATGACTTTACCTATATTAATTTGCTTGAGGAACAATAGTCAGTAAGGTTTTACTATTATAGAAACATGTTTTTTTTTTCAAGATTAAAAACAAGCAAGTACATGTGTAAAAAAAAAAAAGTACAGAAATAATGGTACATTACACAATCCTTTTTGTTACATCCCAGGCTGCAATGAAGGATCAATACCGGCCGGTTTGCAACACGTTACCATATGTCTCCATTTGATTTCATTATCCTTTAAACTACTTTTTTATTTCATTTTATTTAGTTAATTTAATTTAATCATTTATCAAAATATTCAATTTGTTCACTTAATTTTTAAAGATATTGCAATGTTAACCTTTCAATCTATTATATTTTAGACCACGAGCTTACTTAATTTCTTTTTCACGTGATTTTTTTAATCATGTCATACATACAAGAAATTAATATCGTTAATATAAATTGTACATAAAGAATAACGTTGTATTGTTTTAAAAATCAAATCAAATCTTTAATATATAACAAAGAAACTAATAAATTAAATCAATTAAAAATAAAGAGATGAAAAGAGTTATTGAATCTTTTTTAAAAAATCTTTTAATACTTAGCTACGTAAAGGAAAGGTAAAATTTCCAATATTATTACACTAGCAACATTTGTGGTGGTTTGATTTTATCGGAAATCATGGATTGTAATAACATGAACCATTTGATAACGAGAGAGTACGAAACCTCAGCATGTATCAATTAATAAAGAAAGGTCTACAATTTTAATTACTATCATAGAAAAATGATTCTGAACAAGTATTCAATGACTATCATTTCGAATTCATATGAGGATATGTTCCAGTAAATGTTACTTTAATTTGATTTTATGTCTAATTTATGGTAACATTGGGCTCGATCGCTCTCTTGTCATTTTTGGCAAGCATGCATTAGAATTTGTACAATCTGAAGTTTGACTTTTGCAACCATATTATATATGCAATAGTAGTACACACACGTCTTTTGATGTTCATAGCAGCCCCACCCAATTAAAGAAAACCAAAAGGGAAAATGAATAGCTTAACCACTCCCGTCATCAATTTTATTAAAGAAACGTCGAGTCCAACTATTTTGAAAAAATAAAGAACTGAAAATTACCTATTTTGTGAACCCAATGCCAAGCAATAGAAACAAGTTTGTACTCAATTATTTTTTTCAATGCATAATTTAATCAATCCTTGTGCTATCTAAAAATTAGTCTATCTATTTTTTTTTCTCTTCTTCAAAGTATTTAATGATTGAAAAAAAAAAACTCTAAGATTTTGAATACTTTATCCACTCTTATATTAATTTAAAATTTTATTAACATTTTAATTTACTTATATTGAAAAAAATTAATCATGTCATTATTAATTATGCATTTTGATTTCTTGTAATTTAAATCAATTTATCTGTAATATATATTGTTAATTTATGAATTAAAAAATTAATATTTTGATATTTTAAAAATATGTTCTTTAATATTTTTTAATTTATGTTTTGTATTCTAAGATGCTTTTATGATGGACATGAAAACATGATTCCGTATCGTGCCAAAGGAAAGGAGTTATCAAATTTCTTTTATTAGAATAGGCAGTTAGGATGCCTGCATATGCTATTTTTTCCATGTGAAAATAAGGTGATTTTGATACTCAAACGTGTGATCACATAACATAAAATAACGACCATCGGTTGATAGTTAGCTATATTCCCATATATTCTGTTTACCAAAGATGGGAAGCCTGTTCAAATATAAATAGTTAATCCCTAAACCATATGGCTATCTTAG